AATAAAAAATTTCACCAAAAGAAGTAAAATCAATATTAACATACCACAAAGTTTCCTTCACTATCCCTCTTACTCCAATCAAATTTGGGCGGAAATCCATCCCTTATAAATTGTCGTGGTATCTATTACACCCGCCAGTTGATGCAAAATATATAATTGCGTTTATTAATGTTGTTAATTATTCAAAACGAGAATAAACATAACAAAATACATACAGCATCTGGTGTAGGATCAAATGTAACAGTTGCGATGAACGAAATTGCACAAATTACTCCAGTAGCAACCGCAAGTCCTTTAAAGATAAAAGGTAGGGTTATCGGGTAAATATCTGGTGCAAAGATATCTTGGGCTTCAAAGTCTTTATGAACCTATCTCGACGAGGTTTTTTTATTTAATATCGACAAAAAACCAATAATTAAAAAATTAGAATAAATTTGAAGAAACACTTAATAAAAGAAATATTCGAATTAATTACCAAATCCCCGAAATTTCTCCTCTCTTGCTTATCCCACCACCCAAGACGAGGATCTCTCAGTTGAGCATAATTCCACGGTGGATTAGGATAATCACCAAACTGTGGATCGGGATCTACCCAGCCTTCTTTAGAAATGCTAAGTGGTGGTTTTGGTGCACTATAAGAAGCAACTTGCTGCTTTATGACAAGACTCGGTGTACCCTTTCCCAAACCATAAAGTTGAGTGGTGTTTCGAGCAGAAAGAACACGCGAAAATTGTACAAGAGATCGCATTTGATCAATAAAATAAAAAGTTGCCCCCTAGAATAAATACCTAAGTAAAAACGTTACAATGCATAAATTAAAAATAGCTGATCGTGATCTTTATAACATTTATTTAAATTACAATCAATCAAACAGCATATATATAACGAATGCAACTTTTTTTACAAATACTCTGGTCTTTAACGGCGATTGGGCTCGGGGCAACACTATACTTATATTATTATACCCTATTTTGTCGCTGGCAGTGGACAGGTAAATAAAACAGATGACAAGGGAGTAATTATCTTTTTACATATTTTCTATCTTGTACTAATAGGATCAGTGGAAAAACATTAGATGCCGAAACAAGAATACTTTTTTTAGCTGACCCACAAATTGAGGGAGATGCCAAAATTTCCAAACAAGGAATTCGAGGTAAATATTAACGATATTTGATAATTCGCATTACTATAATCTCGTTAAACTCCTTAAATTTTTCGCTTTTGAATGAATGTTTAGGTGAAATTGATCTCTTTGCCAATGATTTATATTTCCGACACATATATACCTCCTTCGTATCGCCTTACTCTTTATTTAGGCCGCCTCCCACACATGTAATAATACTTGGTGATTTATTCTCTAGCCAGTGGATTGGCGATCAAGAGTTCGAGAGACGCGTGCAACGATATAAATGGATTTTTGGAGATCCTAATAATGTGAGCGAGTACATCAATATATATATATATATATATATATATATATGCTAATATTTTTACTTCAAAGTTATAATCGTTATCTTTGGCTTAATACATACGAGCGCGTTCTTTTAGGAATACACGCATAAATTAATTAATTTAACAGGAAATCATGATATCGGGTATAATCGCGACATGACGCGTTATCGGGTCAATCGTTGGGAACGTGAATTTGGAAGTACAAATTTTGTTGAAAAGATACCTCTTAAAAAAGAGATTAATAATAATAATACTAAGGAAGAAGATGAGGATGGTGTAGATAATGAGTCTGGAACTCATCATTTAATCGTAGTCAATGCACAAAATATTGATGGACCAGCACGGGATGAGGTAATTTTTATTTTGGTATGCCTCCAATTCAAGATGTCTCACTGTAAATTAATGTTTTCCTCTCATTACATATTTATTAAGGATTTGCGTTCTGAAACGTGGAATTTCCTTGATTCAGTTGTCGCCGAACGTGAAAAGGATTACCACGCGCCATTTATACTGCTTTCCCATATTCCATTACATAAACAGTCGGGTTTATGTGTGGACTGGCCGATGATAACCTATGATTCGTAAGCTTCATTCTCACATTTGAATTATTCTTCATATTCATACATTACATTATGCTGAAGTTAATATAAAACTTTATAATCAGATTCAACTTTATAAATGAACAAAATCATTTAACCCCGAACGCGAGCAAATTCATTCTCACACGACTAAAACCTCGTTTCATATTTGCAGGACACGATCACGAAGGTTGTGATGTGACCCATGTAGTAAGAGTCATAAACAAAGAAACCAACGATTACTGGATCGAGTCGTATAGAACTGAAAATTTCGAAATTAACAAGAACAAAATATTGTCAGGGGATGATGGGCGCGAGTTTATAGTTCGAGAGGTTACCGTCAGATCTGCGATGGGTGGATATGGAGGTAATGCGGGACTATTTGAGATCAGGCGCAGACATGAGAAGATAGATGCAATAATTGATGATAAAGATGACGAGAAAGGTAAGTATTAAGAGTTTTTCTTAATTAACATATTTATCAAAATTAATTGGGTTTGAATGATTTTCAGAATTTGAATATCATTATTCATCATGTCCGTTTGTGATGAATCATATACCTTGGATTGTTTTGGTGATTGATATTATCATGATTATTGGGTGGATTCTTTGTGGACTTTTCGTCATTGTCTCATTACTATTTAAGAATAAAGCATATAAACATTGGAAGATTCAAAGATTATCAACTACATCACAGATTCCAATAGAGAATGGCAAGAAATTGTTATAGATGAAAATAGAATGTAGAATATATTTAGAAATTCTGTAGAAATTATCTTTGAGGCATTCATATGACTAAATTAAATAACATAATCTTTCCTATGATTGACTTGTGTTTAGCCAAGATTAGTAATAATGAATTTCTCCTTTTTTTGAAAGTTTGATGTTACGTGCGAAAATCTAGAATGAAAATTGTATGCAGAACAAGAAGCTTTTATGATCATGATATGGCATTGTAGAAATGATCCCGTATGGAAACCGCGTGTTTGTATGTCAAATGACCTTTGGAGTTGGCTCGTCATTTGATGTTTGTGTAACATCTGGAGAATTGGTGAGATATGTTAGGAACAAGTGCGACAAAGGGGTTGGGGAATGTTTTTACCATGAGGAGGCAACACGCAGATCCCTATTGTTTATGAAACGATTACGACGTAAAGTGCAAGAAAAAACGTGACTCTACTGTGGCCCAGCTTTAGCAGATTATTTGCAATAACGATAATTTTTTGCCTCGCATTTACCAACTTGTTTCTTAGCTTATTAGTAACGATAATGAGCAATTTACACGAGCCAAGATCTAAAAACAGCACATACATTCGGCTGATTTGACAACCGCTGTGTGTCACCGAATAAAGATCACATCCTAGTATATGATATACACACAATGAAAGGGAAGGGCCAAAAATTACCCGTCATTGTGTCATTATATCATTATTCTCACTAAACTATATGGTTAACGGTTTGTCGTTAATTATGACGTGTATTTAATGTTACTATTATTTAAACCTCCTTTTGAACAAGTACCGGGAAAACCGGTAAGAAAAAACCCCGAAGCACACTGGCTGTGTCACTTTCACAAATCAAACCAATTTAGCAAGTGAGCAATCAACTCATCAGGGTCGATCAAGTTATCAATCAAATGATCGAAACGCACTTAATCAGAATAAGCAATTATAAATTATTATAAATCATTCTGTCTCCCAACATGTTCCCAAATTTAACAAATCAACAAACTTCTATGAGCACACGGCTTTTTTTTTAATTTTCCTAAACAAATTAACGAGTTCCCCGTGCATAATTATAATCATCATATTATCGTTATTGTTATTATTCGATCTATAAATATGACTCGAAGTTGGATCGAAAACAAAAAAGAATAAAGCCTTTATCATGAAAAATAATATTATCTACCTAATTATACTTCATTACATATGATAATTCGTATTTGTTTCCCGCCGGTGCTTTATCCTCTTAACTCATATTGAATAATAATATAATACCAATAAATAAAAGAAATCATTCTCAACCTTTTTTTTTTCCAAGGAATTGAGCTCTTTCCAAAAAAAATTGTCATATTGGTGTCAAAAATCAAAACGGCGTCAAAAGTCAAAACAAAAAAGTGATATCCAAAAATCTGATATCAAACAAATTATCACCATGCGTCAAAATCTGGTTCGACCAACCCTAACTGAAATAACTCCGTTATTACAGGACATTAACAATAAAAGAGGAAATACATATGCAATTGTAGATTTTTCCGACGTCGCTGACCATGATACTAAAGATTACAAGAGCATTGACAACCTTGGGAAGAGTGCGGCCGAGATAAGAGCTTCTCGTTGGAAAACCGTTAAAGCCATTGCACAATTGGTGTTGTTGTTTTGCGTGGCGCTTGGTTTCATGTATATCTCTGTACAACTCTTATTACCTCCGATAGAACCGTGAGTCTTTTATTTATTTTCTCCATTCACCCACATCTAAATTTCTTGGGGTGAGGATCTTGCGTGTTTGTGGGTTAATTATTGAAGTGAGATCAATTTGTTCCTTTTTTTTTTTTTTTTGACTAAATCATTACTTTGAATTTCTCGTTAAAAAGAGATAAACGTGATCTCTTGAAATTGCCTACAAACATTGAGGAACTCCAGGCCTTAAAGGAATTGTTGAGTTCCTATATGGATAAATTCTACCCCAGAGTATTGGCTGCCTTCATTATACTATACATTTTGTAAGTTAGTTTTAATTTATTGTATTTCAATTCATTCATGTGCTGTCCCTTCGAGTATTTTTTTACTAATTACTTTCTTTTGGTGATAAAAATTTAATAACAGCTTGCAAACCTTTTCGATACCGGGAAGTATGTGGTTATCAATATTGGGTGGTGCATTATTTGGCTTACCAGTTGCACTACCGGTCGTGTGCACATGTTGCGCGATTGGTTCCACTTGTTGCTATCTACTATCCCAAAAATTCGGCAAAACATTCGTGAAAGAACGATACGCCGAGAAACTAGATCAACTTGCAATCCATATACAAGCACATTCCAGCAATCTTCTCAATTACATAATCGTACTCCGTCTTGCACCATTTCCACCAAACTGGTTCGCCAATCTGGCTGCGCCCCACGTCGGTATCCCATTGAAAACTTTTATGCTTGGCACGTTCTTTGGGGTTGCCGGACCCTCGGTGATTCACGTACAAGCCGGTGAAACAATAAATACGATGGCGAATTCCTCGAGCTTCCACATGTTTACCGTGGAGAATGTGTGTGCACTGGTGTTAATTGGGCTTGCTGTGTTGATTCCGGTGTTTTTGAGACGACGTGTTGAACAGAAAGCGAAACGTGAAGCTTTAAAGAATGGGCTATTATTGCCGTCATCCTGATGGGTTATTTATCATCTCCTTATAAATTTTTATCTGTTTCTTTCGAAATAGAGTGTATATGTAATTTTTTTTTTATTTATCAAGCGAGAGAGGATAATTTAATGACTATTAATTTTCGCTAATTACTTTTTTTTATTTTACTAAACAACTATTATTGATTCATACCAATTAATCCTTGATAATTTCCTTGTTAAATCATAATCCTCTTGTAAAGAATAATCATTAACAATCCTTTCGTTCTTAGATTGATTTATAATGTTAATCAATTAGAAGATACTTTGATCAATACCTTTATAAATTTTATGGATATTGTAACTTCTAGTTTATTTTCTTTTCATATTTAATATTTTTTTGAGGATACTACCTTCTTTCTGTTATTGCTAATAATAGTTTTCACTTTTTTCTCTCGTTTAATCTAATTGTACATAGAATCCAACAACATCCCATAAATAGTAATGTCTTTTATTATATATGTAAAATTTTCTTCTATTAACTACTGACCTTAAAGATTATGACCAAATAAACAAATTTTTAGATTTGATTCGATCTCTATAATGTGAAGAGAATGATGGGGTATCAACCTAACCAGTCCTAATCAAAGATTTGTAATAAAAGAGAATCAATCTCATCACTTTCAAATACAATAACTATAATCACCACGAAGCAGAATAGAAAATATCAGAACGTTTTTTGCGTATATTTCAATTTGTAAACTTTATCTTCAAAGTACTAAATAAAAAATACTAAGACTGGTGCCAACAAATTTTGTTCATCACTTTGTATATCTTGTAAAGATAGAGTATTGTTTATTAAGCTTCGAGTTAGAATAAAATCAGCCCGTTGCTACTTACCAGTGAAATGAAATTCTCCACGAGAATAACGATAAAAATTTTTTCGTAATTATTTTTTTTTTTCTTTTACCAATAAGATTAAACATTGAACCGGTTTTAGTTACGGCTGCGCCATTACATTGACAAACTCTTGTATGGTCTATATACTAAGTTGGACAAAATCAAATTGTAACATTAAAACCTATCATTACTAATAAAACTCCACATTAAGCAAAATCTAAATTAGATAATAACGAGTCCAAAGCTGACTTCTTTTTTTGTAAGATATTGAAAAATATCGCGAGCATCATTAATATCTCTATCAAACTTTATTTTGTATTGAGAATAATAAAACTTCTTAAATGAATATAATTACAGAATTCAAAAGTTTTACTTATATATTCTTCTATACAAATTACTATTTGATATTAGAGATACTGAAAATGATAATATGATCATGTATACATGACTTGAGCAATACATGTTATTATTCATATCAAATTATTTCTTGAGATGAAATTCAGATAATAATATCATGACAAATTCTCTTGTAAATATATAATATAATATAATAAAATTTAAGTTTACTTTATATATATGACTTAGTTAATAAATTTGATTAATATTATTTTTTTTCCTATTTAATAGTCATTTTACTTGAATTATAATTAGTTATATATTAATATAAAATATAATATAAAGTCTTTTATATAAAATAATATAATAAAAAAAATTAAATAAATATCTTTTTTATATTTTTAAAAATAAAAAATTTTGATGTTTAGTTTATATTTCAAGTAATTTAGATATATAAAAATAAAATTCATTAAAAAAATTCATTATAAAATAATTATTATATTTAAATAACTTGAAAGAAATTCTTTTAACTTGATTTTATAAAGAAATATATATTTATTACAAGACTTATTCTAGTATTTAAAAAGTATTATATTATAATTATCTATTATTATAATATAAATTTTTAGTAAAATATTAGTTAATTTAATTATTATTGATCACTTTATATTATAATATAATTAAATAATTAATTACTTATATCTCATTAAATAATACTTTAAATATATATACAGTGACAATCAAAAATAATGTAATGCTTAAATTTTTTACTAATTATAATTAGTAAAATACATATTTTTTCTTATATATAAAAGTTTTTAATTTTACTAATAAATATTTTTTATTTTTAGCTCAAAAAATAGCTAAAGTTCTCTAGTTTAAC